AAAAAAAAAAAAAAAAAAAAAGAAGCGTGTTCTTCAAAGAGTACAAAATTGAAAAATGTGGGTGCTTCTCAGTACATTTTAACAAGTAACTTAAGATTTCCACTTTACATATTAGCATATTTTGTTTGGTTTTGTTTTGTTTGAGTTGGAGTCTCACTCTGTCGCCCAGACTGAAGTGCAGTGGCACACTCACGGCCACCACAGCCTCTACCTGCTGGGCACCGGTGATCCTTCTGCCTCAGCCTTCCAAGTAGCTGGAACCACAGGCACACGCTACCACACCCAGCTAATTTTTTATTTATGGTAGAGATGAGATCTCGCCAAGTTGCCCAGACGGGTCTCGAACCCGCTGGCTCAGGCAATTCACTCACCTCGGCCTCCCAAAGTGCTGGGATTACAGGCTGAGCCACTGAGCCTGGCCTTAGCATATTTTAATGTCAGTTGTGAGTGGTTTTTACATGTAAGGTTGCCTCAAAATTCACACAGTTTAGCATAATTTTCTGAAGAAAATTTCTGCCAACTCTCTCAAACATTAGAGCGAAACTTTGGGGATAGAAGAAGGTTACGGAGACTGGCCTGAAGTCTGCAGAGATCCTTGGGTAGGAAAGGAACCTGAGTCCCCCCGTGGCCTGTGAGGAGGAGGAAGCTGCAGCCAGGCCCCCTCAGCCAGAGTTCCCCCTCCTCTGCATGGCGTCCTCTGGAAACTCCGTCCTCTCTGAGCCTTGGTTGCCCCTCGGGTCAAGTGAGAGCCGTGTGGTCTGCCCTGCAAGGTCACGGGAGTGAGACGACGGGTGTCTGCACTTGCCCATAAGGTGCGGCCTTGCCAGAATCAGCCTCCCCGTCCCACCTCCCTGTGGTCTGCAGCCGTGGCCCTCCATCGTGGATCCCGCAGGCGTTTGTCCCGCCCCCACCCATCTCCCGGTTCTCGTAGGGCTTTGTTTTGAGGCTCCCTCCAGCTGCTGAGTGGAGGTGGACCGTCAGGGAAGGGTGGGGCAGGCGGCCAGAGCAGAGGCTGCCCATTGGCAGGAGGGACGGGGCGCCCCGCTGGTGGGTGCAGCCGGGAGAAGGGCTTACATTCAGCATCTGATCGAAGCGGGGCCTTCTCGAGCCTCGTCGGGGTTCAGAGGCATTTGTCACACCGTGGGAGCCAGGAAGGACTGATGACGTCTCTCAAGACTGCCTCTGAGTCCCCGGCGAGGAGTGAGCATGGGGAAGAGGTGCGGGAAGCAGAAGCAGAGAGGAGTGAGTTGTTTCCACATCTTGGCTAAGTAGGCGCCTGGAACGTTGGCACAATTCTGACGTGGCACGTTGGCATGGTTCTCATGTGGGGGAACTTAGGCGTGACTTGACGTGGCAGTATTGGAACGAGACAGGAGTGCGGAAGGAGAGCTCGCTGGCAGTGTGAATTCCAGAGGCCCACGGCCCCAGACAGGTCTTGGAAGAGCTGAGTTCACAGCCGTGCTCTGCTCACCCGTCCCTGCCTTGTTTCACGGTGACGCATGTGCATTCCGCATGAGACGGGCCTCGGGCGGTCACTCCCCTAAGCTGCTGTGTGGGGCTTTCCCCACTTGCATTCCCTTGGGCAGCTGATAACAGTTTCGGAGCCACTTCCTCACATGGGTCCCCTCGCCCCAAGCCCGGCAAGCTCTCCACGCAAGAGGCAAAGCTGGTGTGCTGCGCTGTACCACAAGGAGCCAGGAAGGTGGCTCCACAAGTGCTGAGCTGCAGCTGAGGCCGGAGCGCAGCCGGACACTTTGGAAGGAGAGCAGGCGCCTCCCGAGGTCCAGCCCTGGTGGCTGGGGCGGGTCGACGCGCAGCCCAGAAGGACCCTGGAGGCTGTAGGACTCGTCCAACCCAGATACGGGCGGGGCGTGGCCCCATGGGAAGGAGCTCAGCTCACCGCTCTGGCTCCTGCCCTCAGCCTTCCCTCGCCACCTGGCCAGGCCGTCCCTCTGGCCTCGGTCCTAGCTGCCACCGGAGGGCTCTGGTGGTCTCTCCAGCAGTCTCTCTTGTTTTTTGCTTTAGAAAGGCATGAGGCTAAAGTAGCCACGGTGCGAAAACGAATTTCAGCCCGCTTACGTAGCATGGAGCCAGTCTTATGGGTAATCATTTCTGCCGTAGGGGTCCTTAGTTGCAAGATGACTTTATCTTGAGTCACAGTGGGAGAGCATACAGGCCTCTCGGTGCTGGTTTATAAAGCTGTAGAGTGTAAGGTCTTTTAAAATAGCCAAATCTGGAAGCCCAGACCTTGTTTGGTTTTATTTGGGAATGCCTTTGCGGAGCCAGCGGTGGCCCAGTTAGCCACTCGTCGATAGGCCTCAGCAGAGCTTTTCTCGGAATGATGCTGCTTTGTGTGATGGGGTGCAGGGTGTGTCCGTTGTATTTTCCTCAAGAGACTCCTTAGATATCGATCAGTGGAATAAAGTCATTGAGCAGCTGGGGACACCATCCGCAGAGTTCATGAAGAAGCTGCAGCCGACAGTGAGGAACTACGTCGAAAACAGACCAAAGTACCCCGGGATCAGGTTCGAAGAGCTCTTTCCGGACTGGATCTTCCCGTCAGAGTCGGAGCGAGACAAGATAAAGAGTAAGCTATCCTCGCTCTTGTTCTCTGCGATTCCGGCCAAGTGTTCACTTTCATGTCGGCTTCTTCCCCTGGGGCCTGGGGAAGGGCAGAAGCTGGACCCTGATCAAGGCCCCGGGTCGAGGGCGGGCGGGTTGGGGGCTTAAGGCCTCGGCCCCTGGAAGTCCTGGCCGGAGTCGGCGGACATGGACAGGCCAAAGGGCTGCCGCCACCGTCCCGGCATCTGGGATTGAAGCGCTTCCGAGTGAAAAGCACACCTGTCCACAGACTTGGGAGCCAGAAACCTCCCGAAAGGGGCTGATAAACAGGCACCACTCTCCTCTTGGCTTTCGCTGCCTGTGGTGCTTGAGGCACGGGAGCTGACTGGTTTCTGGCCACGTGAGGTCATCTGCCTTGCTCCGAGAAGCAGCTGCCCTCCTGCATGTGTTTTGAGCTGTCTCTGCCGCAACCTGGGGGGGCCTTAGATCAAATGAAGTCGTTGACCTTGCGGGATTTTTCTGACGATCCCTAGATTCTTTCTGAATGTATGTTGCCAACATTGTGTTCAAGCTAGGCAAAGCAAAGGCACCCTTGAAGTGCTTTGTACTGTGGGAACGTGAAATTGTGTGTGTGTTTGTTGTTTTGTCTTTTCTGAGGTGGGGTCTCGTTCTGTCACCCATGCTGCAGTACAGTGGCGTGATCATGGCTCACTGCAGCCTCGACCTGGGCTCAGGGGATCCTTCTGCCTCAGCCTCCCGAGTGATTAGGACTACCCCATGCCTGGCTAGTTTTTTTATTTTGTTGCAGAGACGAGGTCTCACTATGCAGCCCATGCTGGTCTCAGACTCCTGGGCTCAAGTAATCCTTCCATCTCCGCCTCCCAGAGTGCTGGGATGACAGGCGTGAGCCACGTTCCTTGGTCTTCTGTGTGGTTTTAAAAGTCTGTTCTAGCTGGGTGTGGTGGCTCACACCTGTCATCCCAGCACTTTGGGAGGCAGAGGCAAGAGGATTGCCTGAGACCAGTGGTTCGAGACCAGCCTGGGCAACTTGGTGAGACCTTGTCTCTATAGTAAATAAAAAAATCTAGTCAGTTGTGGCAGTGCACATTTATGGTCTAGCTACTTGGAAGGGTGAAGCAGAAGGATCACCTGAGCCCAGCAGGTCGAGGCTGCAGTGGCCATAAGTGCGACACTGCACTGCAGCCTAGGAATCAGAGTGAAACTCCAACTCAAAAAACAACAAAGCAAGCATCTACCTCAGAGTCAACCAAAAATGGAAAGAACCCGGTAGAAGATGCCCTCCAGCCGAGCACAGTGGCTCGTGTCATCCCAGCACTTGGGGAGATGGGGGCAAGAGGGTTGCCTGAGCCCAGGTTCGAGACCAGCCTGGACAGCTTGGCGAGACCTCATCTCTACTATAAAGCCAAAAAGTCAGCCAAGCATGATGGTGCACCCTGCTTGAAAGGCCAAGGTGGAAGGATCACCTGAGCCCAGCAGGTTGAGGCTGTGGTGGCCGGCAGCGTGCCCCTGCACTTCAGCCTGGGTGACAGAGTGAGACTCCAACTCAAAAAATGTGCTCTAACTTCGTGTTGACAGTCACCCTCAGCAACGCACTCTGGGCTCAGCTCCTGCTACCATTCCTGGCTGTGCTGTCAGCCTCGGCCTATCCAGGCACTGACCTGAGGCTGCCTGGTGCCCTCCCGCCAGCCCCAGGCCTCAGTTTCACCTCTGCCCCTCGCAGCTCCCGGAGCAGGAGAACCACATTTGGAAGCCTGGTGTGTCATGAGTGTGGCACTTGCCTTTCTCGTAAAGGTCTTGTTTTTCTTTGACCTTGACCCTGTCCTATTTCTCAGCGGCGTGTGCCTCTGTTCTGTCTGTGCTGTCACAGTGAGTTCTTCATGGTGGGCTTTCTTTGTTTCAGGTGAACTGCATTTGTGTCTTAACCTCACATTTGTCTTCCCCTAGCCAGCCAAGCTAGAGATCTGTTATCGAAAATGCTGGTGATCGATCCTGACAAGCGGAGCTCAGTGGACGAAGCCCTGCGCCACCCATACATAACGGTGTGGTACGACCCCACGGAGGCAGAGGCGGTGAGCGCTGTCTGCGTGCGGAGGCGTGCGTGTGCAGGAGTGGCCACACAGGGACAGCAGGTTCCACACTTGGGCCCTGATGGCGGAAAGGCCACGTGACGGTGGACACTTGGGTCGTTCCTTCCGGGCCCTTGGTGTTAGAACCCTGGCATGAGAACCCCGGGCGTGGACTCGAGCTGTGGGGGTATAGCAGTCTCCTCAGTGCTGACTGATGGTGACACGCCACGCGTCTGTCCTCACTGAGCGCTGCACAGGCTCTGGTTCTGTTGTCTCCTGAGGCCACCCAGTCAGGGGGCTGAGCTGCTTGCTGGAAGCCACGTGGCTGCTGGTCCTTCCTGGAAGGCCTCCATGCCTCCCATGCCCTGGCGAGTTCCTCTGAGTCCGGGCTCCTCTGCATTTCTCATGTCGCCCTGGTGTGGATGGACTTCAGCCACGCGTGGCATGCCAACACCAGGGCAAGCCGACTGCACACCACAGTAAAACGTTACGTTTGTGGCCTGTGGCTTTAAACACCGTTTTATATCAAGAGAACCCAGTTTATAAGCAGACTCGTGGAACAGTCTGTTTGTGAGTGGGGGGCTGAGTGGGCGTTCTAACATAGGGCTGCGTAAGCCTGAGTGCCTGCTAAGAACGGTGCACCTGCCGGCGCAGCATTCTCGTGGGCCTCTGGAAGCGGCCTGTGGCAGCTGACTCATTGTGACGTTTGGCTGGCGACTTCAGGGTGTTTAGAGATCATGTGATCGTTAAGAGGACCACAGTAGCTCTCTTGTTTGGTTATTTTTCATAATTATTTTGATTCTGAAACAGATAGGATATCACGCTTATGACAAAAATCTCTAGTAAACCACATATTGAAAGAAATGAAATCTATATCATCAATAGACTGGAAGCCATCCAAATGATTAAACCTTTTTTTCCTGCATCATTTTCTTTAGCTTAACTTTACCTGTGATTTAATTTTTAGCCACCACCTCAGATTTATGACGCACAGCTGGAAGAAAGAGAACATGCCATTGAAGAGTGGAAAGGTAAGGACAGAGCCTATTTCAGCGGTCCTCTGGGCGCCACGCCAGCCCTGTCAGGCTGGGCTTTCACTTCGCCCGCAGCCAGGGGGCAGGAGACCCTGCAGCCCTCCAGGCTCTCCCCCACCTCCCAGGAGAAAAGAGCTGGGCGTGACAGAGCTAGAGGAGTGTGCACATGACTTCATCATTTGCTTCCAGAGAGAAGAGTAAGGGATTTTCCCATGACTTTTCATTACCAGATGCCAGTTTGTAAAACAAGCTTAGTGATTGTCTCACACTCATCTCGATGTCCTATTGCCTGTTGTCAGGTAGCCCTGGTTCACAGGCCACAGGTACCCACAAAGTTCCCTGTGTCTGCAGAAATGGGGACCTGCGGCTGTGGTCCTGGGGACTTTCGCTTGTCTTATAAACCACGTAGTTGAACATAAGTTGTAAAATCTAGCTTGGGGAAATTGCAGATCAAAAATATGCAAGCAGGTATCATTACCACTCTAAGATCAACCAGGCGCCCCACAGCAAACTGAACCCACAGTGAAGAGGTGGAACTCACAATTTTCATTAAGAAGCCGGGTCAGCAGGAACTGAGCCTCTGTCAGAGCAAGTCAGCGCTGGTGATGGTGTCGCCCGGGCCCTCCTGGGCTGTGGGGAGGGTGCACACGACACACTCGTTGCCGTAAACGCTTGCAGTGGGCTGTCTGTTTTCGAATGCCCACACTCAGGAATGCCTGACCTTCCTCAGTAGGCAGTTAGTTTTTCTTACAAATGAAAGTTGAGGAAACCCGGTGTTGGAGCCAAGGAAGACTTAGGTGTGTGGATGCACTCCCAGCCCATCTGGAGGGGCTCCTGGCCACCTGTGAGCGCTGGCTGCACCCGGAGCCCCGGGAGTCGCGATGCCGAGAAGCACATGCAGGTGGCGTGAGGACCTCCAGTCCCTCCGTGGGAGCCACTGCATTGGGTCTGTCTCCCTCCTCAAGTCCCCCTGTGGCCCCCAGGACCCACCCTGTGTTTTTGGCCACCTTCATCGAAGTGTTAAAAGGATGCAACAGATCACACATAGACATTTGGTCCAGACAGACTGTCTGAGTTATCTGTGTCTCACAATTAAAAACAACGCATCACGGTGCCTTTGGAGGCCCCAGCCGGTTCGGAAGAGAGTTGGGAGATGCAGTGAAGGCGTTCAGAAACTGACGCAACGTTTTCACTTGTGTTTCTGTTGAAGAGCTGATTTACAAGGAGGTGATGGACTGGGAGGAAAGAAGCAAGAACGGTGTTGTGAAAGACCAGCCTTCAGGTTAGTGATCGCTTTGACTGCTTGGTCGTGCCCACTCAACTCTTGTCAGTGGCGGCAGGTGGCCTGACAGGCTGGCGCTGGGCTTCGGAGCCCGGTGTGCAAGTTTTTCCTGCGGCGGCAGCGGCGGCAGCTGACATTTTCCCGAAGAGCCAGGCACCAGCGGACCGTCCTCGGCCGTTCTTGCCGCTGTTGGCGCCGTCTGCCGGTGAGGGGGTGGAGCTGAGAGCCCTTCACGTGCTGGTCCCACCCGGGTACAAAACGGTGGTGCCAGCCGAGGTAAGATGGAGTTTGGCTTTCTTTGGAGGAAATTGCCCGTCATTCTCCTGCTTGATGAAGTCGTTGTTGCACCCAGCAGTAGAAGCCTGACGCCAGGGTAGTTGAATGGTCACGGGAGGCAGATACGGGTGGTGGTAGCCTGTTGCCGTGACCACTACAATAGGAGGCATGTGCAGGACTCTTGTACCTGCCGGACAAAACTCTCGGGGTATGTTGATTTCCTTCCGCCAACTCCCACGAGGAAGCATGTGGACACGTGCTTAGAAGTCCAGCTAGCACAGCTCACTTCTTCTTCTTGAATTTTACACGCAACATGACGTGTGTGTCGAGCATCTAAAGGTTGTAGGACTTTGGCAAGAATTTAGGTGTATGTTAACTAAGCACAAGTCTAAGGTGCAAACGCCTATCTCAGAGAGCCTGCACGTTTTATTTTTGTTCAAACCAGACTAAAATATAAAGGGCCACCCCATATTTTTTCTTTTTTGCAGTATACAGTCTTTATTTTATTTATTATAAAAGACTTATTTGCATATTGATGCTTTTTTCTGCAGCCTTAGTGTTTATGTTATAAGCGCTGTAATTCAAGCATCCTGTTCAGTCTAAAGCCTTGTGATACTGCATTTTAGGAGAAATTTAGCAATTTCCTGTTGATGTCTGTTTGAAACCAGCAGGTGTTTTTGTCGGTAGCTGACAGGGTTGTACAGGGTCACTTGAGCGTCGGCCACTGGGAGGAGGAGGAGAACGTTGCAGGGAAAGATATGGGACGATGGGGCTCCGGGCCTGAAGACTCGAGGAAAAGCAGGGCATGAACGGCCGATGGCGGCTCCGCTGGTCCCAGCAGTTGGGCTTGTGACGCCATCAGAGGACAGCGGGGGGAGACCCGGGGCCTCACTGCCTGGCCCTGCGGCGATGCCGTGCCTCAGATTTTACTCGGCTTGGTTTCCTTAGCACAGATGCAGCAGTGAGTAGCAACGCCACCCCTTCCCAGTCGTCATCCACCAACGACATCTCGTCCATGTCCACCGAGCAGACGCTGGCCTCGGACACAGACAGCAGCCTCGATGCCTCCACGGGGCCCCCCGAAGGCTGTCGGTGACGAGTCGGAAGCAGAAGCCTTCATCACCGAGGGAGCTCTTGCACCGTGGCCTAGCGCCGAGCGCCGACGGCGCCCAACAGAGAACTCCATGTTCTGCATGTAAGAAACACGATGCCTTGCCCCACTCGAGACCCGACAGGATGCCTGCTTAGACCGCACGGTGAAGCAGACTGTGTCTGAAGGAGGACGTGCCAGCCACGCTTTGGAGGTTTGTTCAGGATCATTTCAGGCGAGCAGTTAGCATAGGTGCATTTGTTCAGAGTCGTGTGGTCCTAGTAGTGACAGTTTCTCGTTACCCGTGACTGTTGGGACGTGCGTGCATGTGACCACAAACGCCTGCTTGAACTTGCCCATCCAGCACTTTGGACATCAGTATTTAAATGCCAAATAATCTTCCTGGTAGCGATGCTTGTAGAATTCTCTCTTAATCCTCTTAGGTAATTTGGTGTCTGTCCAGAAAAGATAGAGCTCTGTGTGTTAATCGGCCATCACCAGATTATTGTTTCTCACCCTCTTTTATGGTATGATTTATTCTATCTTTTGTATTTCAGAAGGAATATAATTAAATCTATTTAATAAATTAAAAGTACAGCTTTTCTTAGGTTTGTGCTGTTTGGGGCTGAGAGTTTCACCGCCGAAGCCGAGACGCTCACACGGACACTCGGTCGCCTCTGACCGTCTCCCCTGGGCTGGCTGGCCCGCCTCCTCGGGCGGCGCCACCCTGATGTCCGTCGGTGCTGCATGAGACACACACACCTTGGCAGTCTGAGCCGCCTGTCCCTTTGCCTCCCGGTCCTCCGGGCTGATTGCTGATCGTGAGGGCAGCTCCGTGGTGAGGCGCGCAGCCTCCTCTTCAGCTGCATGAGGGCGGGGGCTGCCACCTGCCTGGCGAACGTCACGGCAGAATCTCCGCCGGCTGTCGCTGGAGAGCCTGCGGCCCTCCCCGTGCTCCCTCTGCTCTCCTTTCCCCCTCAAGGCGACACACACGGCTCCCAAGGCCGCTCCCTCCGCCAGCCCCGAGTCCTGACTCACTTCCTTCATTCTGGCTGTCTTGGGAGGCGGGCCCTCTCCCGGGATATGCGAGTGTGCCGGGAGCGTCTTCAGCGGGCGAAGGGTCGCGGGAAGAGCCCTTGGGAGCAGTGATTGCTGTGGGGTGTTTCCTGATGCCAGGCTCCTCTGAAATGGATCCTTCGGAGGGCCTTCCTGACGTGCGAGTTACGCGGGATTCACCCATGTGCCAGGACGGTCAGAGGCGCAAGGCGGGGCTCGCTGCGCGTGGTTGCCTGCCTTGCTTGCGGCGTTTTCTCCCGGAGCCTCGTGTGTTGCGACTCCAGCCTTGTGTTCGGTCATGTGGAAGCTGTTTGGCCGACATCCTACAGAACGTTCTGAGGAGGAGCTTGGTAAGAAGCATGATCTGAAATACATGGCTGTCTCTGCACCCATTACAGCTTACGGGTTAGTATAGCTAGGAACTGGAACCCTTTATGAGCAAAATGAATCTTGAGACAAACGATTTCGTGTTGTGTCATTTAGACGCTGTCAGGGACAAAATGGGCGAAATGCCTGTCAGGCAAAAGCACTTGTTCTGCGACTTGAGGTTTTTTTGGCCGTGGGGACCCGACCGTGTACTCGAGGGAGTTATCGCTGTGCGTGCATAAGCATCTCAGAGGGCCTCGTGCTCTTGTGGCCTTTTAAAGGACTTTACTAAATCTGTCTTTGAAGGGAAAATTGGAGGAAGGGGAGTGTCCTGGGAACCTGTCAGCCATGGACACCCGTGCTCAGGGCTCGTCCTGCCTAGCCCGTCAGGGAGACGCAGCTGGGTGGCCTGCCGTCCCCCTGGAGCTCAGGCTGGTGTGGGCGGGGCCTCCTGCCAAGGTATCTCCCCTCAAGAGAGGCGAGGGCACCAGGGTGGCTACAGAGCCCATGGAGGTGCCTCTCCCAGCTCCCGGGCTCCCTCGACATGGGGTCCTGGCGCAGGTGGTTCAAGCTGGGTTCTGTGGTTAGAGGACCTGGAAAATGTGCTCAGCTCACTTCATCTCTTCTGTTTCATAGCTTTTACTGGACACCAGCCAGGAGGTCACTCTTTTGGACGTGTATTTGTGTACAACAGGTCATATGTCATCCTGGAATTGGGACTTGGTTTCTTTCATCTGCTGGCTTAGTTTTCAGTCCCCCACCTCCAGGTCTGAATTCCAAGTGCAGGTTTCAGAGAGCAGACAGTCCTGTCGGGCAGGGCAGCAGTCCATAGACGCTGGCCACGCCTGCCGACGCAGCCGTGGCCTGCAGGGGAGAGAAGGGGCCCCTGTGCCCAAAGGAGAAATCCCCTGAGGGCCCTTCCTGACACCCAGAGTCCTGTCTGAAACCCTGTGTGGGACGCTGGTTTGATCCGGATCTAATGCCACAGAAGCCCTGAAGGTGATGCGTGGGCTTGTCTGGTCGATTTCTAGCGTGACTCCCCGTGCTCCACGACGGCAGTGACACGGACGTGGCTTCAGACTGCATGTCTCAAGTTGCAACACTGCCAGGTGCTCTGTGATAAAATGTTTGTGTTGTGGTTGGTGAGAATAACACATTTTAAAAGAGGAATGTGCAGCATGCACAGCCTGTGTGTGTTTCCAGCTGACAGCTGTGTGTTTCCGCACCGCCATGCCTGGTCAAGGATCTCACAGGGACACAGGTAGCTGTTGGCGTGTCAGTGTCAGCCGTGATGGCAAGGGTTTCCACAGCAGTAGCCAGAAACGCCTCTCTGCTCACTCTCTCTGTGGCCTGGGGACTGGAGGCTGGCTCTACGGCATTGCTCGGAGCTGGCTGCTCCACCCGGTGGCCGCCCTCCTCCTGGGTGGCTGCTCTTTCCTGGCCCCACCCTCCTGCCTGCCCCTCCCAGGCACGCCACCCCCGCGGCCCCTTCTCCCCGCCTCCGTCCTGGACTACTCTTCTGTGGCACTGTGACAAGTGAAAAGTAAGTCAGCCAGGCATGGTGGCTCACGCCTGTAATCCCAGCACTCTGGGAGGCAGAGGTGAGCGGATTGCCTGAGTCCACAGCTTCGAGCCCAGCCTAGGCAGCTCGGTGAGACCTCATCTCTACAATAAATCAAAAAATTATCCAGTGTGATGGCACATGCCTGTAGTTCCAGCTACTTGGAAGAGTGAGGCAGAAGGATTGCCTGAACCCAGTAGACTGAGGCTGTGGTGGCCATGAATGTGCCATTGCACTCCAGCCTGGGCAACAGAGTGGGACTTTGACTCCAAAAAATAATAGTGACATAAATAAATAAATGAGCCGGGTGTGATAGTGCACACCTGTAGTTCCAGCTACTTGGAAGGCTGAGGCGGAAGGATCGCCGGCGCCCAGCGGGTCAACACTGGGGTGGCCGTGAGTGTGCCCCTGCACTCAAGCCTGGGCGATAGAGTGAGACTCCGGCTCAAATAGGTCAATAAATCTCAAGTGATCTCACACATCTGGAGACAAACAGTACACTCCACGGTAAATAAGACAGCCCCTGCCACGGGGACCCTGACACTCCAGGTAATGAATGACTCCGTCATCGGTGGCTGCCGTCAACCGCACGAACCTTGGCCTCAGCCGAACGGTGCTGGAACGTCGTCAGAGAGAGTCACACTAGTCAGGAAGCAGTGGCTGAGCGGATGACAAAGCCCACGATGAGAAGCTCCCGGGTGGGGTCTGGCCCCATTGGCCTCATCACTGGAAGGGCCCGGACCTGCCCTCCTGGCAGCATCCTCACCCTGACGGCTGAGCGGTGCTGTGCGCAGAGACCAAGGCTGTGTGGCCCGAGGGTCTCCTGGGCGCCACGCTGGTCCAACTGCTGCCCGTCCCTCCCTCTGCTCCAGGCTCACCTCCCCGGATGAGGCCCCAGGCAGGCCGCCCCCGCGTGAAGCCTCTTGAGGCCCTGGTGAACCCTGGGCCGTCTCGCCACCACGCCGCTCACAGTCACATTCAAGGTTGCCGGCCATGCTGCTTAGGATGTTGAGAGGTCCTAAAACCAGCTTCTGGGCTTTTTCTGCTGGCTGATTCTGGAAAATGAAGGCCAGTGGGCTGTGTTGACCCTCGATGACCATACCTCTGCTGAGACACGTGCCATCCTTGGGTCCCGCTGCCCGCCCTGGACACACTCTCTTGCTTTTCCCATGACAGGTCCTCTTCACAGACTCCATTTTTACATTTGTCATTCTCCAAGTTTGTGGTTTTGTGTGCACAAGTAGACGTGGTGATGGTGGTCACCGGTCTCCTTCAAGGACAAAGGTCCTTTCCACGTCAGATCCACACGTGAAACCGTGACACTGGTGTCAACTGAGTCGAGCACTGGATCCTGTTGGGCGCCTGCCGGGTGTGTTTAAGCTGGCCAGATCCATCCAGCATTAAGTCTCCCACCTCCCCCGCTTGGGGTATTTGGGACAGGGAGCAGGCAGGGGACATGGGATAGTCCTCCCTCCCCCCTCCTCTCCCTTACACCAGCTTGAATTTTTTATCCCAGTTGCATCAACTCGGGAAGCAGGGGGCGGGCAGGGAAGGTCTGTGTGCGGCAGGCCTGGCCCAAGGTGACCCACACTCTCGCACTTTGAGGGTCTGTCTCCCAGGACCCACTCGGTGCCAGAGGGGGCCACTTGGCATGGGGCCAGTCAGGGACACAGGAACCACAGGAGGGATTTCAGCACAGAACTGAATGTAGGGACTTTGCCACAAACAGATGTTGGGAGACTCAGCGACCAGAAAGGAAAACTGAGGCAGCAACGAAGTCGCCCTGAGAGGCAGCCACCACCCTCGGGGGCGAGGAATAAAGGGAAGAGTGAGTCTTGGGGTCTAAGCTCAGGCCAGGGCTGCACCCAGACGGCGACAGACGGGAAGGGGCGTGGCCAGGCTAGCGCAGGCCCTTGTGTCCTGGGAGAGGGGAGTGAGGCTCGGCGAGGCCAAGCCCACTGTGGCAAGAAGGGCCAATGCTGAGGTTCCGCTGTCCGGACTGCGGCTGCGGCAGGAGGGAGCGCAGAGAGCCTTCTGGGCGCCTGGCTCCTCCCACGGCAGAGCGGAGGGGGCAGCTGACCCGGAGACGTGCGGCGTGCAGCCCTGGCTGAGCACGGAAGGGAGGTGTGGGGCCGAGACGACAGCTTGACGACTGGCACACGTCACACACCCACATGGCACATGCACACAGCACAAATACAGCACACCAAACGCATGTAACACACACATATGCATAACACACAGCACACGCCTGCACACAAAACATGCATGCCTACAAACAGCACACGCATCCACACATGCACACAAAACAGCACCTGCATGCACACAAAACGTGTACCTAGCATGTTACACACGTGCACGCACAGCACACACAAAATGCACCCCAAACACATCACATACATGCACACACACTGCCGCACTCGTCCCTCCCCTCCCCGCCAGCCCAGGGGGGTGGGCAGACCCGCCGTGCGAGACGGTGTTTTGCTTCGCATTTGCTCTGTGGCCCGAGGGTGAGCATTTGAGTGTTCTTCCAGGCCTTTGCTTTTCAAAATAAGGGAGTCATGGATAATCCTGTGCCTGCGTTGCACTCGTAGAGGCATGTCTTTAGGATAAACCCCTA